ATCTCATGGTGTAGAGGAAGAAGAGGAGGTGTGATGTTTAGACAGACTCACTGTCTCAGAGTTTTCCCAGGTTGGGAGGGGCCTACTCCTACCCTTTTTTTCCTGCTGCAGTGCATGCTGGGAGAAGGAGGATATACTGGTCATCTGGAAGCAGCAGCCATTTTGTTGGTTAACTAAATTCAGCCAACTTGGGAAGACACTGAGACCGTGGTATAGATTAGGAAGCTGTATAATGTGTATAGTAAGAAAGCCTTGTTTTAACTCACCCTGTATACAGTAAGTAATACACTGACCCTGGATTTGAGACCTCATGCCTGTGTGTATAATATATTGAGTAGACACTCGCACAATTACATTCACTATTTAAGCACAAGCCCACACTTTGGGACATAACAGTGGCAACGAGGATTGTGGATTTTAACACACATGGCATTAATAGGCTCTATTCGGCCTTTTGAACCTGCTACTGAATTATGGAGTGTGTGGGTGGAGAAGCTGGAGCAGTACATGCAGTGGCATACACATGACCCATGGGGCCCCGGCCCCCCCGTGCTTACTCGGCGCGGGGCCATAACACATGGCGGCGGGCACCTGGTCGCAGGGGTTGCAGGGCTGCGACCCCGCGACCGCGGTATGCACACACACACTTAAAGGACCACTACAGACACCCAGATCACATCAGCTCAATGAAGTGGTCTGGGTGCCAGGTCCCTCTAGTTTTAACCCTGCAGCTGAAAACATAGCAGTTTCAGAGAAACGGCTATGTTTCACTGAGGGTTAATCCAGCCTCTGGTGGCTGTCTCATTGACAGCTGCTAGAGGAGCTTCCGCGATTCTCACTGTGAAAATCACAGTGAGAAGACACTGAACGTCCATAGGAAAGCATTGAGTAATGCTTTCCTATGGGCGGTTTAAATGCGCGCGCGCCTCTTGCCGCGCATGTGCATTCGGAGCTGAGAGGCGGAGGGATCCCCAGCGCCAAGGGAGTCCGACGCTGGAGAAAGGTAAAATGCTGAAGACACACACACACACACTCCTCAACAGACGATACACACTAGCTAACAGACACACACACATTTACTGACAGAGACACACTCAGCGACAGACATACATACACACTCACAAAACATACACTCACTGACAAACACACACTCACTAACAGACATCAAACACACTCAGTAACAGACACACACAGTAACACACTCACTAGCAGACACACACCCAATAACAGACACACTCACTGACACACACACTACACACACTCTAACACAAACAAACACTAACACACACACACTAACACACAAACACACACTAACACACACATACATACACTAACACACACATTTTTTTTAAAATTGAATCCCCCCAGCCTCCTTATCTTTTGGAGAGCTGGGGGGATTCCCTGGGGTCCAGTGGTGCTGCTGGGTGGGCTGGCTGGCTGGGTGGCCGGCGCGCGGGGGAGCACTCTCCCCTGTGTGCTTCCTCTTCAGCTCCCTCGCGCGCCGCATAGGGATGCCGGCGCCGGAAGATGATGTCATGCTCCGGCATCAGTGCGGTGCGCAAGGGAGCTGAAGAGGAAGCACACGGGGAGAGTGCTCTCTTGCGCGCCGGCAAGCCAGCCAGCCCGCCCGCCGGGGTCAGCAGTGCCAGCCTCGGAGGGGCCCTGAGGTGGCTGCCTCCTGGGCCCCCCAGGAGAAGAGGCTGGCCCTGTGGGTACATACCGGGTCGCAGGGGCGACCGGGCCCACTGGTGGGCCGGGCCCGGTCGCAGCCGCGACCCCTGCAACCCTGGTATGTACGCCACTGAGTACATGGAAGCAAATAGCGTTGCTGCAGATAAGTAAGTTGCAGTTTTCCTCACAGCGTTAGGTCAAACTGCCTATGGCACACTCAGAGATCTAATTTTACCAGACAAACCGGCCTCTAGATTCACTTTTTAAGTACAAGCCCACACTTTGGGACATAACATAATACACCCTGTTCCAAATTATTATGCAAATTATATTTTTCTCATTTACCTAAATAATTGATGTAAATAACAGTCAGCATAATTCTCATGTTATCAACTATTAAGAGTACAATTCAAATTTTATTGAACAAACCTCCTAATGATAACAGTATTTTTTTTAAACATAAAAAACTTACAATGGGTACAGTAAGGAGGGGTTCCAGGCTGCAGTTGTTTCTCTCCTGCAGCCATTGAAGGGTGAAACACGCTCACATGGGGATGTATGGCCCTGGAAATAAATACAACCTTTCATCGCCTGCCATCCTTTTCAACACTGCCTTGGAAGTGAGGAAGAGCATCAGAGATATAATGTAACTTCTGAAAAGGCTAATTAGTTATATATGAACAGATACAATGGTATTGAGCACAAAGGATTGAGTGAACTTTCAACTTGTAGGGGGCGTGGCTTGGACACCGAACTAATAAGCCCTACTAATAAGCCATCTATAGATTAAATGCGACGGAACCGACGAGGTGAGCCCCCAGGGACCCCCAGGGGATCCCAACAAAACTTACCCCTGGGTCCGATGGACGAATTTCTACAGACGCCGGCGGCAACACGTGAGGAGGCCAGAGGCCCCAAAATGGCGACCGGCACCACTCCGCCTAATGATCACCCCACCTGGAGGGAATTGGAGACGAGATCCACACGATAGCAGCCTCAATGGCCACAAAAGCAGACCTCCTGGTTCTTACCACCATGATCCAGGACGCACTGCGGGCCGAAATGGCCGGACTCCGGAAGGAGGTCGCATCACAAGGTAGCCGCCTGCAGGAGCTAGAGCACTCCCATGCGGCACAGACTGCCAGACTGGCAACAACAGATACAGCACTCTAACGGCAGGGTGACCTACTCCTACAACTTAGGAGGTCAGTAGAGGACCTCGACAACCGCGGACGGCGGTGCAATATAAGAGTCCGTGGAATGCCTGAGGCAGATGGTGAGGAGAACATAGAAGAGTCCCTAATGGCCCTCTTCCGCTCAATTGTACCCGAGGAAACACAACTGGACATGAGGTACAACAGGTAACACAGAGCACTACGGCCCCGGTCACTTGAGGAAGGCCCAAGGGACATAATATGCTGCATACATTCCTTCTCAACTAAGGACGCCATTATGAAAGCAGCCAGATCCCGACCCACATGGGACTTCCGAGGGGCGCAGATATCACTATTTAATGATCTGTCACCAGTAACCTTAGATGCCAGAAGAGCCCTGCGACCCGTTACATCACTATTAAGAGACAACATCCCCTACAAATGGGGGTTCCCATTTGCCCTGCAGGCGAGACACCAGAATGGATGGGTCTCACTTCGCTGGCCCAGGAGGTGCCCGGCTTCCTGGAGGACCTCTGGCGCCAGGCCCGAGACCCCAACGCGACGCAGAGGAAGATCACTGCCACAACGCCACCGCATCCCACAAAGAACCCAGGAAGAATAGCCCCCACCTCGACACCGTTAACCCGCCAGGCAAGCAACCCCACACCCTCTTATGGAACGTAACTGAACTACGACCCCACTAAACCAAGCACTCCCAACGGGACACCAACCCCAACCGTAGGCCTCAACGCCTGAAGAAAAGATCTGCAGCTCACAGTACTTAGGAGGGAACCGAGGAGATTAGCAGCGGCGCCCTCCGGCTCCGCGGGGGACACATGCTACCGGTATACCACATCACACACAGGACGTCTCTGGACCTTAATAAACACGAGGCCTTGGACATTCCCACATACCGGTCCACATAAAGTCATGCTGGGACATACCACTATACCGGACTATTCGAGACTCTAAGCATTTACAGCACAGAGAAGAATATCCCTCCGACCCGATAAGTATCACCCACCATATGCATTCGCTATTGTTGACTAACTGTAATACTGTACATAGAAGGGAAATGCAACTTATAGATACCTAAAATCGAAGAAAGTGAACAGATAGATGGGGAAATGGAGGGGGGTGGAGAGAGAGGAGGTGAGAGAGGAGAAGGAGGGAGAAGGGGGAAGACAAAGAGGAGAAGGGGGGGAAAGAAAGGGGTTGGGGGGAGAGAAAAAAAAATATACACAAATCAATATATAGTAACACCGCGAAGATTACCAGATGCAGAAGTGATTTCTTATGTAGAAGTTAGAGAGCTGCAGTTTCAAATGACTATGTTGGGTTTTAATGATGCACCTCTGATTATCACAAATATTACGGTTGGCTTGGGTCACCTGGGAGAGGGGGGGAGAGCGCAATTGTAAATAAACTCCTGGCGGGGACGGGGAAGAGGGGCCATTGGGAGGGAACCCTTGGGGACCTGAGGGGACAATGCACAAAAAATGTTAATTGTTAACAAAATATGTATGTTCACACTTATGTTCATAGCCACATGTTCGATGTAACTCAGCCTCACTTAAGTCGGAAACCGTATCTCAAGTTCACTCACACTAGGGTAGGGGCTCGGTAGATATGGACTGACCTAGACTTCATCTTACCTACAACACGTTATTCCTGATTTGGGCTCCAACCATAACTCCACGCACACACCTGCAAGACTCTCTCAGCGGAGTTCTCGGCGAACACTGATCTGGCTATTGGTGCGTCGCCTGAACACTCCTGCTGAGACGCAAGTGTCCCTCCTCTCTTGAGGAGAACCCGGGGTGACTCACACCTTCGTCCCCGCTGGGTACACACCCACGGGGGAGACCTCTCTAGTCTCCCCCTAATTTTACCTTTTTCTACTACTACATGAACACACACACACGATTCCCCCACACATCACCCCCCCCCCACCACTACTACACACACCAACCCACACGTTGACGGTAACAGACAGACACTTCACACAGACACTATAGGACTAGACAACGTAGCAACCACTACACATAGTATTCTAACCACTCCACGGGGCTGTGTCGCCGGCTTGGCCCCTTGGTCTCCACGGACACGTTTCCTGCGTGCGAGCGCCCGGCCGGGGGGGAGACCATGGCGTACCCACACGCCCCCATGTCCATCATGACCCTCAACTGCAGAGGCCTGAACATCCCGGAACGCCGCTCCCACCTACTGAGGGTGTTACGACGGAAACACATATCTATAGCTATGCTGCAGGAGACGCACTTTAAGGAGGGAGCAGCCCCCAAACTCCGAAGCACATACCACCCCATTAGCTATCTCAACAACCACCCGGAGACACGCCGAGCAGGGGTTGCAATACTGCTGGCAGCCGACTTAGGGTTCCAAGAACTAGACAAACTAGCCGACGAACACGGACGGTTCCTCTTCATTAAAGGCGAGAGAGTATACACCTTCGCAACCATATACGTACCCAACTTAAAACAAGCACAATTCCTCAGGGGGACATTGAATAAACTACGTGGATCCTCGGAAGGAGCGCTGATCGTAGGTGGCGACTTCAACGCCCCCTTAGACCCGCTTATGGACTCCTCCACCGGCCATAGCTGCATCTCGCAAGCTCACATTAGATCCATTCGCAAGTCACTAGGGGAGCTGACGCTAGTAGACTGCTGGAGGGCGACCCATCCTACCGACAAAGACTATACACACTATTCAGCAATACATAACCGCTACTCCCGAATAGACTACCTGCTGATTCGACAAGAAGGACTCTCCCGCCTGCGAACTGCCACCATCGAACCTGCCTCATGGTCTGACCATGGCCCGGTCCTGGTAGAATTAGAGTCACCGTTGTTCAAACCGGCAGCTTGGACATGGCGCCTGAATGAGGCCCTGCTCCAGGATGTAGGGGTAAAAGAGGAACTCACTCAAGCACTGGAATCATACTTTAGAGAGAATGAAACAGATGAGATATCACCAATATCAATATGGGAAGCTCATAAGAGCGTCATACGAGACACCCTCATCAGCATCGCAACCCACAAAAGGAAGGACGCAACGCGAGCAATGACGGAAATATACAACACCATCTCATGCCTAGAACTCCAACACAAACGCACACAGTTAATCGAAACTTATGGAGAACTAATGGAAGCCAGACGACAACTGAAGAACCTCCTCTCGCAGAGATAACTCCGATCGTTACAGCGATCAAAAAACTTCTTCTACGCCCACGCGAACAAAGGAGGAAAACTTCTAGCTCGCATGTTAAAAGGCGACACACCACGCACACAGGTCCGGAAAATTTGCTTAACCTTGGGCAGCACATCCCAGTTTCCAGAAGAGATAGCCGGAGAATTTAGGAAATATTACAACTCCCTATACAACCTCCGCCCACCAGTGGACACAGCCCAACAACGAAACTTATTAGAACAAACACAGACTTACCTACAAGACAACGTGCGGGCAAAGATAAACCCAGAGGCCGCATCCACCCTCGATGAACCAATTACAACAGAAGACCTAGCCATGGCATTAAAAAACACGAAAACAGGGAAAGCTCCGGGAACGGATGGGTTCTCCACAGGTTACTATAAACACTTTGTGACAATACTGCTACCAAAACTAACAAAAGCAATTACTAAACTTACACACGGAGGACACCTCAGCACGGAATCCCTAACAGAAGCTATAACAGTCATACTCAAACCTGGGAAGGACCCGGAACAATGTAGCAGCTACCGCCCAATCTCCCTACTAAACGTGGACACTAAACTCTTCACGAAAGTACTGGCGACTAGACTACAGCGGATACTGCCGAGTCTTGTCCACATAGATCAGACGGGATTTATCCCAGGACGAGAGGCCAGAGACAGCACACTGCGCCTGTTCTCCATTCAACACCACGCTAGAAAATCTCAGAAATGCCTCCTGCTCCTATCCACAGATGTGGAGAAAGCATTTGACCGGGTCAACTGGACATACCTAACCCAAACACTTCAAGCCATGGGCATGGGGCAGAGGGTCATGACGTGGATATCCGCCCTATATAGCACACCGAGGGCAGCAGTGCGTGTTAACAGGGCACTAACTACAAGCTTTGGGATCGCAAATGGCACCAGACAAGGATGCCCCTTATCACCACTTTTGTTTGCACTGTCACTAGAACCACTATTGCAAGCAATTCGAGACCACCAGGACATTCGGGGCTATACATGGCAGGGAACGGAACACAAAGTCGCACCATATGCTGACGACCTCCTATTCTTTATATCCCACCCATGGATCACACTGCCCTGCTTACTATCGGAGCTGGATAAATTTGGACGGCTGTCAGGATTCAAGCTTAACCTTTCAAAATGCGAGACATTGAATGTCACCATACCCGCTGCAGAATATGAATCCCTTGGTCCTCTCTTCCCGTTCCGCTGGTGCGCTGGGGCAATGAAGTATCTGGGCATTTGGATCCCCACAAACCCGCAAGAGACATACAGGCTCAACTTCTCCCCACTCCTACGACAAATCGAACTAGATCTGAAAAAGTGGGCCTATCCTCACATTACGTGGCACGGCTGTATAGCGGTACTCAAAATGAACGTCTTGCCAAGAATACTTTACTTATTCCAAACCATACCGATAAGGTTACCAGCGACATTCTTCTCAACCCTGAAATCGACAATCATTAAGTACATATGGAGGGGAGAACGATCCAGACTGCGTCATGACACAAGGGGGGGCCTGGCGCTGCCAGACTTCAAAAAATATCACCAAGCTACGACGCTACAACGTATTCTAGACTGGCATGAATTGGAAACGACTAAACAATGGGTAACCCTAGATCATGAGGGGAACGGGTCGAAACTAAAGGCACCGGTATGGAAAAAACAAACAACTAGGGGTGCAGGAAGAAAAGGGGAGGACCCAGTCACACAAACCCTGCTCACATAGGAAGCCATCAGGGAAGCACCGCAAATCTCCCCGACCCCATGCCCTCTCACACCGATAGCGCACAACCCTGACATAGGTGGCGGACTACCACTAGAGTCCTGGACATTCCTAAGTGAAGCAAACTACATACCAATATGCAAAATAACCCAGGGGGGCAACCTGAAGACACTAGACACATTGTTAGAAGGCCGACCGCAATCCCCAATGTCGATACTCGGATACATGCAATTAGCACATTATTACCACTCACTCCCACACAAAGAAAAGCTACAAAGATATTTAACGTGGTTTGAAGACCTCTGCCTCCGAGGAACAACGATAGGAAAAACTATCTTGACTCTCTACCAGTACCTACTGACCAACGCCACCACGGAAAACAACACTTTTCAGCGACAATGGGAGAGCGCCATGAACAAAACATTCACGCCGACCCAATGGGATAAAGCACTGATCTGGCAACACAAAAGCTCCTCTAGCTCACGCTACCAAGAAGTTAACTATAAGCTGATCTCCATGTGGTATAGAACACCAGTATTGCTACACAGGATCTTCCCCACAACACCACCAACATGCTGGAGATGCCAGAATGACAGAGGGACTATTAGACACATTTGGTGGGAATGCACCCATATCTTCCCATATTGGAACCAAATTAAATCAGACACCCAACTGATCCTCGGAGACGACACTGAATGGTCAGAAGAATTGGCCTTGTTACACATTTCTACACAACCGCTATCCAAATATAAAAAGTAAATACTACGTCATCTGCTGAACGCGGCCAAATCGTTGATACCAGTATATTGGAAACAATCAAACACTCCCACAAGGAAGGAATGGATCCATAGGGTCGAAGACATTAGGGCGGCTGAAGCGCTCCAAGCGGAGCTCGCAGGTCGGGGAGCGAAATGCGCAGAGGTCTGTATGCTGTGGTTCACCTTCCGGGCGGGCGCATAGGGGGGTGGTGGGCTGTGGGCCGGGGGGCGGAGGGCGACATGGCTCCCGCCACAGACCTATGATACACGTCACACCCCAAATACCCTCCCACGCGAGAACATGTGAACATTAGACTGAACGCACTGACTATATCACCTACTTAGGGCAGAGAACACCACAGATGACAACATCTAAAGGGAAGAATGGGAGAGAAAAGGAAGCTGACGAATACCTGGAACAAAGCCCCACCCCTACAAACTCGAAAGGGCCATGATCGAACGAATGGCGGACAGACGAGGAACTAACTAGCCTCGCATGACACCTCTTACCAAGACCACATAAAACAACAGAGACTAGATACGACCCCAAAAGATCAAACGCCAAAAAGCGACCATGGGCCAGCAAGATACCGGGCAAGACAAAACCAACCCCTGGACACACATACGACACACCTCCACCCCGTCCGAGGGGAACCCAGGAGAACCCACACTCCCTGCCCCCATAGACGCACGCAACACACTACGCCACACTACATGTCACCGAAATATTACACCTCATTTGAGCATGAACAATCCCGCCCGTTTACACAAACCAAAAAACACCTCTCCACACTCTCACATACAAACCTTAACGAGGTATAACACCTATAATGACGCACCTCCAGGGCACCAAGGGAGGTTAACACACCCCCATATTAATCTCCACCACGAAGAGCCCAGGCGGAAATGCACTCAGCTACCCAGTGCAACGATATGACAAACAACGCTGAGTAAAGTTGACACAATGGAACACTTATAGTTACGGTATAACAACACTGAAGTAATTTCCACTGTTATGTTTGCAATAATGCTATGATGTATATTCTATGTTGTAACAATGTCAGAAGGCCTGCGTGCCTAAAATAATTGCTTATACTCTTACAATAAAAAAAACTGATCAACCAAAAAAAAAAAAAAAAAACTTACAATGCACTGTTCCAAATTATTACACACAGTAAGTTTCAAAACACTTTATAGGTTGTAAAGAACTGAAAATTGTCATTTGTTGTGTTTGCAGCATATTTACTAAAATCAAAAGCTATTTCAATCAAACTTATAACAACATTTTAACTTTTAAACATTTTAACAGGTCACATTACATTTTAACATAGGACCCCTTATTTGATTGCAGCTTCACAAGTCTTGTATCCATTGAACTTGTGAGTTTTTAGACAGTTTCTGCTTGAATTTGTTTGCAAGATGTCAGAATAGCCTCCTAGAGCTGCTATTTGGATGTAAACTGCCTCCCACCCTCATAGATCTTTTGCTTGAGGATGCTCCAAAGGTTCTCAATAGGATTGAGGTCAGGGGAGGATGGAGGCCACACCATGACTTTCTCTCCTTTCATCCCCATAGTAGCCATTGATGCAGAGGTATTCTTTGCAGCATGAGATGCACCATGCATGAAGATGATTTTATTATGGAAAGCATAGTTCTTCCTTCTGTACCAGGGAAGAAAGCGGTCAGTCAGAAACTCCACATACTTTGCAGAGGTCATCTTTACACCCTAAAGAGGCCGACCAGCTCTCTTCTCTGATTCCGGCCCAAAGCATGACTCCACCACCGCTTTGCTGACGTCGCAGCCTTGTTGTAACAGAGTGGCGGTCCACCAACCATCCATCCATCTGGACCATCCAGGGCTGCACGGCACTCATCCGTGAACAGGACTGTTTGAAAATTAGTCTTCATGTATTTTTCTGCCCAATGCAGCCGTTTCTGCATGTGAGCATTGGTTAGTGGTGGCCGAATAGAAGGTTTATGCACAGTTGCAAGACTCTGGAGGACTCTACACCTTGATGTCTGTGGGACTCCAGAGGCACCAGCAGCTTCACATATCTGTTTGCTGCTATGTAATGGTATTTTAGCAGCTGCTCTCTTGATCTGATGCATGGATCTGGCAGAAATCTTCCTCAATGTGCCTTTATCTGCACAAACCCGTCTGTGCTCTGAATCAGCCACAAATCTCTTAATAGCAAATAATAGTTATGGACAAACCAATAATAGAATTCAGGGCGCCACGATCACAATTTGTATAGATATATACTAGCCTGTCTCAAAATATTCAAGACGATTATAGCCAGAATGTGAAGAAAATGACAATTTATTAAATCCAATAAAGAATATATGAGTATAAAAAAACAACAATACAGCCTAAATGGCTTAAAATATTACCCTTATGGTTAGCAGCTGATATCCAATATTTTCAAGTGCACAATGCAATCAGTATAGAATCACTGACATATGACTGAAAATGAACTCCCCTGATATTAGTGGTTAAAACACAGTCAATACCACCAAATCTCAGATAATGGTCCACTAATGACCAAGTGCCGAGTAATATAAAGTGTAGATGGAATAAAATGCCAATAATAAAGTGCATTTAGTGTGCATACAGTTAAAAATGGAACTCAAACTGCTGATACCAAACTTGTAGTGTCGAACGGCTGGGCTCTACGCGTTTCGTCGGGACACACCGACTTCCTCAGTGGCTTTCATCTTCCTGGCTTCTTCTTTTTAAACGCCTGTCTTCGCGCCTCAAATGATGTCTGCGCATGTGCGGACCACTCGGAACGTAATGTCATAGGTCACGACGTACGTCCGTTGGTACCGCACATGCGCATATTATCCACCATGAAATGCAACCTAACTTTATTGGCATTTTGCGTACAGACAACAAAGTGTCGGCGGTTACAGCCAGGCACAAACTGAGTACTGTGAGCTCACAGATTGTGCTAAGACAAATTATAACATCCATTAAAACAACAATATATGAATGGGTTCCATATGGGGGAAAAACAAGCCAAATATGGAAAAGAGAAAGAAGATTTAATTATTAAAATAATTTTAATAAAAAATATATATGAAAAATATTTGAAAAATATAAAAAATGTGGATCTATATACATATATAAAATCCTAACAGGATTTAAAGGGAAACATTGAGAAACCATTCACATGCATAGTTTCAATACGATAGTATTACAGAAAAAGGGGATTCTAACATAGTTCTCATACTTATGACAAGGAATATTCTGAACCATTAAATCATAAGAATACATTTCATTTTACATTTTTTAAGATAGATATATATCAACCAAACAGAGGTCGCCTTATGGATACACTAGAGATCATGTTTATATTCGAGTCACAGAAAAAAAATAGAAAAACGATAGATCAGTAATTTATACCAATCAAAAACACTGTGGAGTATGCAATCAAAAAAAGTACTTCTTAGAAGATCTTATATTACACAAATATACAGAAGGTGATGTTTCAATCTTAGTTGTAGGAGAATAGAAAAAATCTAATTAACATTTTGTGCCAATTGAATGATGCATAATAGATCATACTTCAAAATATACAGTAATCCTCAAGATATGGAAAGATAAAAAAGATATGGAAAGATAAAAACAAATATAAAAATTGCAAACATAATTAAAAACATAATTAGAAATAATAATGCATAAAAGATCAAAAGTTCATAAATGTACATAAATCAATCAATAAAAGCCAATATATCTAAATCGGTATTTAGACCAGAGGAAATGGAGGTCTTCAGCCTATAAATCCATTCAGTTTCCCTCACGGCCAGCCTTTTTTCCATATCGCCACTCCTCCAATGAGGAATAATTATGTCAATACCGATGCAGATAAAGTCCTTAAAATTAAAATCTTTACAATTTGTGCAGTGTTTAGGGACGCTATGTTTCACACTTTTCTTCTTTATGCCATTGAAATGCTCCAGAAGCCTTACATGTAATTGTCTGATGGTGCATCTTATATATTGAATACCGCACTTACATTGCAACATATATATAACAAATTGGCTTTTACAATTGCTAAAATGTTTTATATCAAAAGTTTCTTTTATACGAAACTTTGAAATTGTGTAGTCTTCTGAACCTGATGTCTACAAGAACTACAGTTTCCACATCTAAAAAAAACGTTCGGCTTTGAAGTTAAAAAACCTCTTTAGACAACCTCTTTTTTAGGCAGAACACAAGGAGCCAGAATACTTTTTAGGTTGTTGGTCTTCCTATATATCACTTTAGGC